ACTGATCACTGATAATATCAAGCCTAATTGGCCTACTACATGTTGGTTTGAACATGGGTTTTTATTCTATTGATGTCCTGTAGTTACTTTTTCAAAAGAGATAAAGGGAATTACACAACAGTACTAACTGCCATTGAAAGGCAGAAATACAAAGTAGAGAATAAGGAGTAAACACAAGTGGTATTTTTGGCCCTCAATCCCTTTATTTGTGAAGTCTGGAAACCAGTTAGTGCTCCCTCTGAAGGTAAACAAAACGAAGGCTCTTTTTTGGCATCTATATTTGTGCTAAATGAAGAGTAGTGGAGGTCATATGTTGAAAAGATGATGCTATGCAAATTAAACCAGAGGATTTGAGAGAGTGCTGCTTGGTTGTTTGTCCCTCTATTTGTTTTTCAAGCACTGATGCACACAGAACAAACCAGTATCCACAGTGCCTTTAATCCTACTGTGATTTACTTCCATCTCTACGAAGCAATTAACAATTCAGCAGCATTCAGTATAAAACAGGATGCAGCTGAGAGAGCAGTCATGTTCTGTGATTAAAGTCTTTCAGATATGCTAACTTTGAAAATACTTTGAGGATACAATGTTGCCTTTTCACCTCCTCCTGCAAAAAGCTCAGAGTCGAAGAGTATGACATTTTTAAGTGCTTCTTTGTTACCTACATAGTCCTCAGATGCTGAAAAAAAGAGAAGCCCTTTTTTTCTTCCATGAGAATAAGCCCTAAATCTCTTATTTTAGGGAAAACATCAAGTGAGCTCTTAGCACAGGATTTATTAGAGATTAACTCAAAAATTATTGAGACTGAATTCTTCTATTTCAATAACTAATAAAAATGCATATTCAGTATTTTACCAGCAACAATACAGCTTTTGCCATTTTAACTGGGCCTTCAAACAAGCCATGAGCTTTTGGGTGACCTTCATGACCCAGCTGAATCTTGACCCTATTTTAGGCCAGAAACACAGCCTTCATTTCTGTGATGAAGATATCCCAAAGACATAATTGAGAAGGATGCTACAGTACTCACCAGCCAAATCTTTGAAATAGACTGTTTGGGAAACCAGGATCCTGCGCATGTCACAGCACACATTTGTCAGAATGTTAGTGCAGCTCGACGGGGAAATAAAATAAAGCTCTCTGTCAAGATTTTTAGTTTTAAGAATAATTAAACTTTCCCAATGTATGTACTCTGGAGCATAAATTTAAGGTAACTGATAATGGATGCTTTTCTCAGATACCTCTGAAGGTCTTTAACTACAGCTAAAGGCTGTCAGCCATACACTCCTCTGCTGACAAAATTTCTGCAGAAATGCCTGTGGTCTTCATTGACCACACTTTGCATCATGTGCACTTGTTCTTACTCATCAGACTGAAGAACAGGACAAGCAAGGGACAGGGCTTGCTCCATCTCAGACCAAAAGGACCACGACCACTATTTGAAAGAAAAAAATGTGCCCAGACGCTGCCAAGGGGACAAAAGAGTCCTCGGATTTGTAAAAATGTGCCATGCACAGAATCCTTCCTAGCTTCTGGTTCCACATAAGCACTGAAAAAAGCCTCAGAAGTGCTTAGGAAAATAAAGACCTGCAGATTCCAGCTCAGTAAAATCCTTTCATTTACAGCTGTGCAACTTAGTATGACCTGGATACCCCAAATCCTGGCACATACTTGAAAAGGAGATTGGGGCAAAAACAGGACATGAGTCAATGGTTATGCTTGGAAAGGAAGATGCTTCCTCACGTGTCTTATTTAACACCACTGTCACAAGATGTGGTGCTTGCCATTCATTCTGCTTCACCTTTTCTCATTGTACGCAACTTCCCAAGCCGTCCCTCTCTTCTGTACTCCCCATATTAATTCATTTTTAACTTTGTCTTCCCCTAATACTGCCTCTAATGCCCTGCAGATGTCCCCCTCTCATTTAAAACCCTAACCTTGTCTTTTCTGTCTCTTTTTAAAAATTACTGTAGTACCTATTGCAGTTTATAGTTTATATGATACCCATTGCTTTACCTGAATTACATTTTTGATGTAAGTCAAGATTTTTATTTTATTGTGGGCTTTTTTGTTGTGGGGTTTGGGATTTTTTGCTTGTGACTTTTATTTTTCTTAACAACTTGCACATCTACATCCAGATCAAGTTTTTAGCCCTTTCATTTGTGGATTTAACCTAAGAGACCCTGCACATCAACTGGGTTCAATGTTTCTAAATGCATCATTAAAATGAGACAGCCTCCACAAAAGCTTGGATCCCCTCACCTGCCTAATGCACCCATCAGAGATAAGGATTAGACAAACTTCATAATTCACTTCCAACTAGAAGGACACTGATTTCTTTAGTAAGATAACATGTATTTTTAAGAAGAAAATCTGTTTTTCTAAATACTGGTTTAATTTTTCTTCCCAAAAAAGTATAGGGATTCACACTGGGACTATTTTGGGAAAGTTCACAGGCATAGTTTGCTCTCCATATACACCCAAAAAAATCAGTAATTGCAATCTGAAAAGATGAACAATTGTCCTGAACAGCCTAGGTAAGGGATATATTTTAGGAAACCCTTAAGTTATCCCTGGATAACTTAAAAAGGAGAAAAGGAAGTGTAACGTTACTTTGACTTTACTGTTTGACTGTTTGGTTTCATCACCTGACATACGTCTATGCATTTTAGAATCCCAGAACCATAGAAACATTTCGTTTGGAAAAGGTCTCCAAGATCATCAAGTCCAACTACTGTAACACTTTACAGAGCACTATTTAAAAACAAAAATTGTAATCTTACAGCTTTTTAGTAGAAAAATTTCTGATGTAAGAAATTTCATACTCTGTCACAATAAAAGCTGAAATTTCACTAACAATACTCAGCTCATTTTCATGTTTCTCAAGTTTCCTGGCTTTTGGCCTTGTAAAGAAACTATATTAACAAATTTCAGCATTGCAACAAAATGTAGCATTTGGAAAAGCCCTGTATTTTGCTTGCTCTGACAATCTGTCAGGACAGGATTAGTGTTAATTCCTACACCCAGGAGACCTTTTTTCCTTCTCTTTTACATAACTAGGCATGAGTAATCTCGACTTCTTGGCAACTGAAATCATCAAGAGTTCATTCTTAACTTTAAAAAATTCTAGTTTTGGAAGCAAAAAAAAAATCTTTAGTTTTTTTTCAGTGTTATAGCACAGAAGTATGAAAAATTAAATATGCTTGAAAGAATACACACAAGGACAAAGATAACTGCATCAGGTGAAACAGCTTCCAGCAGAGAAAATACTGATCTTATTTTGGGAAAAACTAAGGGCAATGTTAGCATATTAAAAGACTAACACTGAAGTATGTGGGTCTACAACTCACAGAGAGATGCTTTTCACTTCATTATCTTAATTTCAGTTCATGCCCAATGTTAAGCAAATATTCTCATATCCTGGAAATACAGAAATTATTGCTAGAGAATGCTGCAACCACATTAAGGTTACACTCACTGTGTATCTTATCAAAGGGGCCCCATTAACCACACGATGCTGAGTCTTCCACTACTTTTTATTTTGTTCAACAATGCGAGAAGATGACATATTTAACTATTTATTTTCAAGATATTACATGAAATTGTAAATTAATGCTTTAAAAAACATCAAGACTATAATTTTGCAGAGGGGTTACAGCAGAGGGAGTATTTAATTACATATATTCAATTAATATTTAATTACACAATCAATTATATTGCCAGAGATGAAAAAAGGGACCTAAAAAAGTATTTCAGCACAGTTTTTTAATTGAATTGTATGCCTGCACACAGTTAAATCTTTATAGTGGTCATCTTCATTCATTGTTAAAAGAACATTAATTTGTTTTTTAAACTAGGAAAAAAAATATAATTTTAGCAGTAGCTACAGCTTACAATGGAAAGCAAGACTATCCTGCACAATAAATCTGGAATACTGCCTCAAACTACAATGAAATATCAATGTTAATGCAGTAAAGCAGTATTTGTTTCTTTTATTGTTTTAAGGCTGCTACAGGAAAAAACTCATCATCTTTAAAAACTAGTTTTGCTGTATTTTCAATGTATTTTACTCATCAAAAGTGTTACTATACAAAAAGAACAAAAGATGCATCTATCAGAGATCAGTCTAAACAAATTTTAAAAATCAAGACCTCCAATCATGCTTTCCTTGACTGATTCAGGTCCATGGTAGCCTAAAACCTCATGACAGCTCTCTATTCAGAAGCAACAAAGATGTGTTTTGTAAATGCAATGTAAATAATAGTAATAATAATAGTAATAGCAATAATAGAAATAATAGTAATAATAATAATTTAATTTAAAGAAATAATATTTAAATAAAATGTAAGTAAAAATTAATATGTTTTATGTGGCAACCACCTTCCATAATCACCTGGGAGCCACTGAAACACAAATAAGCTTAGCCACCATTTTTTCTCTCCAGTTTGTTCCAGTTGCACCAATGGCTAAGAAGCACTGCAAAGCAACCTCATTTTCTAGCAGCATAATCTCATTTGTGGTCCAAAGGGAAGGTAATTTACTCCTATCAAGCACTTTCTAAATGAACTCACATAATACAGCCATTACTAACAGTTTTACAGCTCCACTGCTTGCTCCTATAACCAGCAACAAGGACATCTAGGTTTCCTTCCTTTCTATCACACTTTGTTTTCTTGAATATTCAACTGAAAACACTGAGGAGCAAGGAATTAATTTCTAGTTTTAAATACACCTATAAGCATCTCAAGGAGTATTCAAACAACAAATGAAAAAAAGAACAGCAGTAACTTATACTAAAATAGCTCATTTGAAAAAATACCATTGTATTTTACTATAGGTACAACTCCAAAACCCTTGTCAAAGAAACAACCTTGAATAAAATAAAGCTGGTTTTATTCAAGAATAATGAGTGTTTCTGATAATTGTAATATTCCATGCTAAAATCTTCCCTCCTTCTGGAAATGACTATTAAAAATATTACACAAATTACCATCACTCACCTCTCCTGTCATTTCTTCCTGCATTTGTGGATTTGTCAGAAGGGCAAGGGCAACGTCCTTCACATTTCACTGAAATTTGTTTTCCTGAGACACAGGCTTGATAGTCTAATTTGCACTGTAAGGAGACAAAATGACTCATTAATATAAACATCTCTTATGTCAAAAAATTCTAGTTCTAAGAAATTTGAAGCAATCTTTCACGAAGTGCTTAAATCTTTGCAGACAGGTGCAAAGGAAAATCTTCTGCAGAATATGCTACTTTTGTAAAAAAAATTAGATTAAAGAAAGGTACAAAGTTTTGGTTCCTAGCTTGGCTACCATTTCAGACTTCACTCAAGCATGAAGGCACTTGTGGTGTGAGACCGATTGAATATCCATGCTAAATGGAAGTAGACTGCATTGGTTTTATCTGTATTCTGTGAGCAAATAAACACAGCAACAACATTCATTATTGATAGGAAGCAATAAACAGTCAATTTTTATAGAATTTATCACTGAATTTCTATCTTTAGGATGACAGTATACTGGTAAAAACCATTAATGAATAAAATGAAAAGCTCTGCCTAATGTAATTCTGCACAGTGGCTATCTTTTCTGATACAGAAACAGATTCATTTGTGAGGTTCTGACTGTACTTACAGCTCCAATACAGAAACCACATAAAAGCTAACTATATCTGAAAAAAAATATTGTTTCAGGCATATAAAAATAAAGTAGTTAAAAACCACATACAGAGAAAATAGTATCATTGTAAACCCTCAATCTTACGGAAAAGCTGAACTTTTTTTCCAATAAACAGCTCTTTGCATAGAGATCTTTCTCTGGGATGTTTTGTCAATGTATTATCAGGAAAAACATAAAAAATCAAGGTGGGGGAAGCATCTACTAAGATGCTTTTTCCAAAAGTGAAAGAAGAAAGATTGTTACGGAGAACACTTCGTCCTTGAACAAAAGATGCCAAATGTCTCATTAAATAGGTAAAGGACACAGAAGCATATGAGTCAGAAAACCAGTTCAAGTCACAAATGAAAATATGAAGTGTTTTCTATGCATCATAACACTTCAGAACAATCTCACCAGAATTTGTCTCTTTTATTCCCTGAGTCATATTTTGTTGGGGTATATAACTTCACTGTAATGTAGCTCCATTATATGATTTTCAAGATTTCCAGAGAATGCTGAAGTCAAAGTTTCTCTCTCTCCTAAAAATATGTAAGGGCTGGGAGCACTGTAGCTATGTAAGAATCAAGGTGGCTCCTGAAAGACTGCACTCGATGTTCCCACTAGTATGCAGATGTAAGCACTGTGAATTTACAGAACTTTATCAACTTTTTAAAAGCTGTCAGACTTCCAGTCTTGCCATACTCTCATGTAGTTCTATATCTTGCATAACCTGAAGTGCATCACTGTATCAAAGGATTTTTGCACCACTGCCAGTACTAAAAAGAGAGAAATTATTACCTCCTATTTTGTGTACTTAAAGCAATTATTGCCAAATAAGTCATTATTGTACTTCAGTTTTGAATGTGTTATCTTTTGCCAAAAAGGCATGGTTAAAGGAAAATGACATGAACAGAACCTTTTAATTCTCAAGAAAAACCTTCCAACATAACTGTTCCAATTGCAAGTTATATAGCACTAATAGCTCTTAAGGGACTGGAAAATGGAAGCAAAGCAAACACCTGACCATGCTGATATTGAAATAACCGAATACTTTTTCTATCTCAATTTTCCTGGCCCTACAGGAAAGTGCTTGCAGTACTATGATGCCCACCAGCCCTCTCTACAGAAAGTGTATGACCTAATTTATATTTTAATGCTCAAACCAATATTTGGAGTTTGTGGAATGGATTATCACTCAAATTTAATACTCGTCTCTGTAAAAAGAGATGCCTTTCCATTTTTAATATCTGAGAGCTTTTATTATTCAAATTTAGTAGCATAAGGATTCAAACCTACAGATAGCTGTGCTTTAGGCTTTGATTACTCTACTTGGTGAGACCACCACTTAATATTTGACATATAAACCCATTCCAGGTTGGATTAACTGAGAAACAGAGTACGAAGAATGAAGCACAAAGATGGCAACACATTCATTTAATTTCTGAAGATTTCTTTAATCCTTTTTTTGAGAGGTTGTATTTTTACAGACTCCAATGCTCCTAACTTTGATTCACTTGAACGTTGCTCAAGAGACTAGTAAATACTTCATAGGTGCTTCAACTAGCATCATGAGTTCCAAGTTTAGTCTTTGATTTATTTTTCTTTGAAGTTGTCTACTCAGTCCTATTTGCAAAGAACACTATCCTTTTTAAACTCTAAAAAAACTTAATGCTCAACACCTGGCACAGGCAGAGATACATGAAATCCTGAGTGCAAGGTCAGCACACAACACTTCCAAACCAGTACTCCCATTCACAGGTATGATGAAGTTTTACCCTAGCTGAACTCAAAGACAGGAAGGCAGCAGAGATATATTCATTGATTTCAGAAACAAAGCAACATCATGGTGCTTGCATAAGCTGGAAATGAATCAAGGCAGTTCTGACAATTTCCTTTTAGCAGCTAGCAACACCTGGAATACAACTCTGGTTCAAACCTCTTGACATCATTCCCCAGATTAAAAATGCACTAGGATACTGTAAAGATAGCTCAGTTACATAAAGGTGAGTCAAACTTCCTTCAGTGCTACTCTTAAACTGGTAGAAGAGCAAGTAACATACCTGAAAAACTCCACAGAAAAAGAAATCACTGACATGCAGTGTATGAGGCCAGAATGAGAAATAGTAGTCAAAAAGGAGAGGTGGTGTGAAAGGATTCATGCCACGGTAGTAACTCAAAGAGCTGCCTGATTTCCTAACCAGATCTCTCTCCATGACTTTTCAATGGTCTTGGCAATCTGAAGAATTAACAGGAAGCTGGCAAATGCTGACCCAGTCCCACTCCATGCCTGGTAAAATTATGACGATTATTCTGAGATTTGCAGGAAGACATATGAAGGACAATGCAATCATTGGTCACAGTCAGGACAGCTTAATGAGGATGAAGTCCAACTTGACTTTTACAACAAAGTTACCCACCTAGCTGACCAAGGGAAGCCAGCTGATACAATCTTTTTGGATTTCAGTAATGTTTTCAATACTTTCTCTCACAGTGCCTTTCTGGACAAAATGTCCAGCAGACAGCAGGATAAACCCATCACATGATGAGTGAGCACCTGGCTCATGGGCTGGACACAGAACACTGTGGGTTAATGGGATGAAGTCAGGCTGGTGACCCATTACTACTGGGGTTCCACACAGCTCCACTGTAGAGCCAGTGCTCTTCAAGGTCCTCATAAACAACTTGGATGCAGGACTCCAAAGTAGATGAAGTCTGCCAACGATATTTGACTGGGAGGAGCTGTTGACTCCCTCCAAGGCAGACAAGCTGCAGAGAGACCTGGACAAATAAGAGAGGTGGGAAATCACCAACTGCATGAAGGTCAACAAAGAAAAGTACCAGATTCTGCACCTAGAATGGGGCAACCCTGGATGTACAGATGAACTGTGAAATGAGATGCTGGAAAGCAGTGCCATGGAAAGGAGACCAGCCAGGAGAGCCAGTTGTGTCCTGAGGGGCATCAGGCACAGCACCACCAGGCAAGGGGGAGGATTGTGCCACTCTGCTCTGCTCTAGGGCAACCTCACCTTTAGTCCTGTGTGTTTTGGGTGCCACAACATAAAAAAGATATTAAGCTATTAGAGAGCCACTAAAGGAGAGCTGCAAAGATTGTGGAGAGCCTTGAGGGGAAGCTGTATGAGGAGTGAGTGAGGTCACTTGGTCTTTTCAGACTGGAGGAAACTGAGAGGAGACCTCATTGCAGTCTGCAGCTTCCTCATGAGGGAAAAATGATGGACAGGCACTGTTCTCTCTTCTGTGGTGACCAGTGACAGGACCAAAAGGCCTGATGCTGTGTCTGGGAAGGTTTAGGTTGGATACTACAACAAGGCTCTTCACCCAGAGGGTGGTTGGGCACTGGAACAGGCTCCCCAGAGAAGTGGTCACAGCACTAAGCCTGACAGAGCTCAAGGCTCTCAGGCACATGGTGTGATTCTTGGGGATGTCTTGTGCAGGCCAGGGGTTAGACACAAGGATTCTTGTGGGTCCCTTCCAACTTAGGTTGGCGTGATTCTAGAGGGTTGGAAGATAAGCTAAAGGATATCCTATTAAACATGGAAGAGTTTTAGAAGATATAAATATAATAAAAAGTCATAATTTTAAAATAGGCTAAAATATAATGCAATTCAATACAGAAAATGCTATGGTCTAATGTTACATAGACAAAATAATCAAGGTATTAACAACAAGATGGAGCAACTGGCTAGACATCCATTATAAAGGGAAAATAGAAGTCTAGTGATCATTAAGAACAATTGAGTGGTGTTTAAAAACATTATACCAGGATATATAAATGCTAGTGCAACCTACAAAACATGTAAGATAATTTCACATAGCTGTGGCAGCACCGTACAGCTTGTGACAAGGTTTCAAACAAGACAGGATTTAACTGAAAAAGGAGTAACAGGAATAATAAGAAACCTAGAAAATAGTCACCAAAAAGAGACTGAAGGACTGGGTCTTAAGACAATTCATGTAACAGCTGTCAAATAGGCAAAAGACATCAGAAAGGTACCTGAAAAGAATACCGCGATGAATGTTACAAGAAATAATTGTCTTAAATTGCTGCAGAGAAGTAATAAATTAGATACTAGGTAGACTTTTTAAGAAGGGTAGTGACTTCTTGAATCGCTGGAGAAGCTTTTTAATCTTAGTAATTGTCTTTACAACCAGGCTTAGATAAATCTGTCAGGAATTACACCTGTGTAGCTTATCTTGTTTTTTGAACATGGGTGGATCAGATGGCATCAAGCTTATTCAGTTGGGAAGTACAGACCTGCTCCAGGAATGAACCAGTGTCAAGAGATTATTGCTTGCATAAATCTTGCTCATTTACTGAAGAGTTTGAAAGATGTGTAATGAATGAACCAGGGAGATGGCAAAAAAGGAAAGAAAAGTAATGCTTGTACTGGTCTATTGATCCTAGGTAATTTCAGCAACATTCTGTTTGGAACT